GAGGATTAGCATGGATGTTAGCTCAGGGCTGATCTTCCTCACAAAAAAAGAAAGAAAGAAAGAAAGAAATACGGATCTAGAGCTTCAGAGAAAGTGAGCTCTGAAATTTGAGTCTCAAGTATATTAGAGATGGCTAAAGACATAGATTAGTGGTTCTCAAACTTGAGCTCGAATCTCAATCATCCAGAGTGCCTGTTCAAGAGTGCTGAGGCCCACCCCCAGAATATCTGATACAGTAGGCCTGGGGTAGGTGTGCATTTTTAACAAGTTCCCAGATGTTGATGCTGCTAGCTGGAGAACCATACTTTGAGAACCACTGGCTTTAGATCACCCAGAAAGAATTCTAGAAAAAGAGACTGACAGACATGGAACATCAAGGAGCCAGAATGAGGAGGCGGGAGGGAGGGAGTCAGATAGGTAGAAGAACCTGGATCAAGTATGATGGCAGAAGCCTCTGCAAGAGAAAAAATTTGTTGGCTCTGTCAAACATTAGGGAGACAAAGTCAAATTGAAAAGAAGTCTAAATCTAATTAGCAAGTGTTTGGCAACCTTTGAGAATACAGTTTCATCAGAATTGTGGAGGGAGAAGCCAGATCTGCAATGGGAGACTGGGAAATTAAGCTATGCAAGGGACGAGGAAGGCAGAGGAAAAGCTGCTTGTTTAATGTGCTGGTTTTCACCAGTCTGTAGGCTGAAGTCAAGGAAGCAGCAAGTGGAAAGAGTCAAGAATACGAGAGACCAGGAATAATCAGTGAAACAAGAGGGCAGAAACAAGAGCCTGGTTAACACCAACTCTCTCACCTCTGCTGTCCTTTTACACTCCTTGATGCCTTCTTTTGCCTTGTTTTACATGGGCCTTCGGGTCTCACTGCTCCTCCTAGATTGTAACTTCCTTTACAGAGTTTCTCTCTCCTTCCCCAGTACAGTGGGTAGAGTAGGTAACAGTAAATATCCTCTAACTTAACAGAATATAGAAATACAAATTGATAAAAACTCAGACCCCACCAACAAAACATATACTGGGTAGCAGCAAGTACTATAAAGAAAAAACAGAACGAGGAAGAAGTTTGCTTATTTTTACAGAACATTAAGGGACGACAGTCTTGGTAAAACCACAGGAGAGACTGAATAAAGAAAGGGGACAAACCATGGGGTTCTTCCGTCTGTTCCAGATAGAGGAAACATCAAGTACAAAAGTGTACTTGGCACATTGGAGGCACAGCAAGCAGGCTGGTGTAATTGAATCTGACTTTGGGGCTGGAAGTGGTACAAGATGAGGGTCAGAAAGGTAGGCAAAGGCCAAATGACGTAGAGCTCTGAATGAGCATAAAGGCATTTTAGCATTTGGAGGTCAGAAAGACAGTAAGATCCCGCAGACTGCAGAGGTAAAAAGGAAACCAGGAAAGTGTTCCAGAAGCTAACTGAAGCCAAACTCTGTAATAAAAAAATGCAACATTTTCTCCCACCAAATTAGCAAAGACTAAATTTAAATAATCAATGCTGATGAGGGTGCTGAGACAAGCATTTTCACACACTCATGAGTACAAACTGGTACAATCATTCAGGAATCTGGAGACATTTTTAACGCAGTGCTGGACATGTTGAGAAAACCTATCTTTAAAGATTAATCCAAAGTACCAAAGAAAGCTTTATGCACATTCATAGTATCACCATTGATGGTGTTTTAGAAAACTGCTGCACCACACCTCAGATGGAAGAGTTTCCATTTTCTGATTATCTGCTCTAAGGATAACTCTCCTAAGCCAGTTGTTTGCAGTCCTTCCTTTTCTCCACGTTCAGTTTTACCTCCTGAACTGAGGTATACACCCCCATTTCCTTTGTGACAAGTCACAATTACATGTCCTTTTATCTGATCATGGTTAAATATGGAATCACAGACTTCAAGTGCACAAGGAACCTCTAGGAATCATTTGGTTGAATCCCTATCTACATCCATGTAGATGATTCCCTTATTTTACAGAGGCAACAGGAAGCGAGTTAACAAGACTTGCTGGAAAGTGAACCAAGAAATGTCTGAGGTCTTGATCTTTCCACATCACGTGGGGGATTTAATAATCACAATTACTCATGAGCAAAAGGGTTATTAGCCCTCAAAATTCAGAAACACTACAGTTTTGTAAAGTCCATACGAAAATAAGATTGAACATAAAGTAGAATGAAGATGTCTATTAAAAAGCAGTGCATGGGCCGGCCCCATGGCTTAGCAGTTAAGTGCTCGCGCTCCGCTGCTGGCGGCCCGGGTTCAATCCCGGGCGCGCACCGACACACCGCTTCTCCGGCCATGCTGAGGCCGCGTCCCACATACAGCAACTAGAAGGATGTGCAGCTATGACATACAACTATCTACTGGGGCTTTGGGGGAAAAAAATAAATAAATAAAATTATTAAAAAAAAAAAAAAAAACAGCAGTGCTTTTCGGGGCCGGCCTGGTGTAGTGGTAAAGCGCGAGCGCTCCACTTCAGCAGCCCGGGGCTCGCAGCTTCAGATCCCGGGCATGGAATGACGTACTGCTTGTAAAGCCATGCTGTGGCGGCATCCCATATAAAGTAGAGGAAGAGGGGCACAGCTGTTAGGCCAGGGCCAATCTTGCTCAGCAAAAAGAAGAGTGGCAACGGATGTTAGCTCAGGGTTAATCTTCCTCACAAAAAGATAAATAAATAAAAAAAATAAAAAGCAGTGCTTTTCTCATTAATTCAAAGAACATTTATTGAATGCTTATGTGCCAGGTACTAGGAGTGCAAAGTTTAATAAGACAGTCCCTAACCTCAAGCCTAGTGGGAAAGACAGAAGTTTTTAATAATTACCAACACCATAAGAGAAGCAAACACACCCGTCAGGGGAACAAAGAACTGGGGGATTTTATTCCATCAACCCAAACCAAAAATAATCTCTCGCCTCTCTGATTCCAAGCACTCTCAGTCCTCTCCTTAAAATATTTGTAGTATCAGAGGTTCACCTATGACACTCAAAGTAAGTGAAGAACAAGCAGGAATTCACCAACTGAACAAAGTGTAGGTATTTCAGGGAAAGGCAAATGCCCGTGCAAAGGAACCGGGGTAAGAAAGAACAGCTCCAATAAACGAATTTTTCCTAATAGCTAGAGCATCACATAGGAAATCAGTAGCAGGAAATGAGGTGAAAACAGTTTCGTAGGAACCAGACTACAAAGGGTCACATATACCCTGAAAAACTAATTAGGCGTTACAGATTTGCTGGCTCTCCAATATTCCTGTCAGATGTGGAGAAAACTGCAAAGTTCTCCATTAGCAAGATTATGAAATAAAAGCTAGCAGTTACTGAATACTCACCATGTAACACCTTGCTGTGTTTTATATCGACTCTCCCTGAATCTTTACAACCACCCTTTTAGCAGAGGCACTTTCATTACCCTTTTCATAGATTTAAGAGAACTGAGTGACACATAGGTAAAGCAATTTCCAACAAAGGAACAGGACCAGTAAGTGTGACCAGCAAGCCTTAAATCTGTTCCAGTAATTTAAAGAAATGAAAATACGACTAAAGGAGCAGGGATGGAAAAAAGAAGTGACTATGAAAGATAGTCAGGAAATAAATATCAGGAAATAAATATTTAAAATATGCAAAGTGAGGGACATGTAAGAGTTTAAAATGACTTCAACTGGGTGCATAGTGGTGCCATCAACTAAGACTCCAGAACAGGAATGCCAACTGATGCAGTATATAAGGTCTTCCTTGTTGCTTTCTGCGGTGGTGGTAAATGATAAATTCTGTTGACCAATAGAATCACGTTTTAAGCACAACTCTACCACTAGATGTGAATCTTTAAGGGCAGTTAATAACCATCATTTATTGAGTTACGTTAGGCATTCACTGAGATTCAAAATCAGGTTTGCTGGATTCCAATTCAGACATATAACCATCATACTTTACTACAGAAAACCAAAGGCCACTAACACTGGGTTTTACCCATTCACATTACAGGATTTACTAAAGTTATAAAAATAGGTTCTTGTCCTCAAGTCTAGTTAGTGGGGATGGAATACTCTGAGAAGTCCAAGGTTTCCATTTCAAATAAACTGATACTACTGTTACAGGTATCAGAGAATACTGAAGGCAGCCAGGATGGGATGTAATCAATTCTCTTTTGGATACGCTGAATTTGAGATATGTTTGTCACATCCAAGTAAAAATATCCAGGAAGCAAGAGAATCACCTGAATGTGCTCCAATAATACCAAGTAGCTTTAAAATGTACCCACAAATATGAGACAATATAGCACCAGTGATTCAGATCTGATTATGGAGCCAGACTGCCTGGGTTTGAATCTTTGCCTAACACTTCGCACCTATAACCTTGGGCAAGTTAACTGTGCCTTAGCTTCTTCTTACGTAAAATAGGCAGAACAGTTTTTATTCCAAGTTTTTTATGAGTAAATTATGTGAAGTGCTTAGAATGCCACACAACACATTAACTGCCATATAAATGTTTACCCTTGATTGAAATAAAGATATTCTAGTTTCAGATGATCACAAACACTTGTTTTCTGAGCCCTGTTCCATGAAAGGCTGAAGCAACACAGAACTGGGATGTTAACTCACAAAGGACAGGGTGCTTTAAACAATGTATTTTTAAGTAGTAGGCCTCAAAGGCAAGTTCCAGATTCTTTAAACACAGCTACTTATGATACAATCATGAGTAATCAAGTTTCCCTGAGCTTAACTGGAATGCAACAGATAATCTTTCATTTATTTTTTAAATTCTTTTTTTATAGCAATTTAGAGATTACTTTCAAACTAGTATATTTTATAAATAATATCTGGCAGTTTCCTAACCAATTGAGTATATTCTTTGTTGCACAATAAACCACCCCACACCTTTCATCAAGAAAAAAAAAACCCATAAATTTGAATAGTAAAGACATCACCCAATGAATTAGGACGCAATTATTAAGTTTGCTTTAAACATTTCTTTGGGGGAAGGGACACCACACTTATACTCAATTAAGAGAAACGTTTTTACAGTGCGGGAGTCTTTTATTTTTTTTCACCTATCATGCCATGAATTCATAGGGAATGGGTTCCAGCAGCTCAGGCTCCTTTCCATTGGTTCTCACGAAGTGTGCTTCTCTGGGTGGAGCAGGCTAATGAATAAAAAAAAGGCAAGGGAATCACTATGTAAAGTACTGTAACTCAATTTCAAAGTGTTTTCAGAACCAATGAAATAATATATACTCAATTCTTTAACTTCATTAACTTTCATATAAAAGTAAAGCATCCCTGAAAAAGAGTTTTATTTCAAGTTCCTAAGATCAATACCAAGAAACCCTCTGTCAAGCACTCACCTGGCGCTTCAGCTGAACCCAAGTACCCTTCTCTTTGGCTTCCTTCTTTTTCTGATCATTTTCCTTCACTCGTTTCAGGAAGCTATCTCGGCTCTTAGAGTGCTTAATATGCTCAATACGTACATTAATTCTCTTGGCAAGAATCTTGCCCCTGAAGAGAGCAGAAACTCTTATAAATGCTTCATCAAAAATATAACCAAAATTCAGAAAACTCTTGGCAGTTTCATTTATTAAATAAACCCTGAACTTTTTTTTTTACTGAGGAAGATTCGCCCTGAGCTAACATCTGTGCCAATCTTCCTCTATTTTGTATGTGTGGCCACCACAGCGAGTGGTGTAGGTCCATGCCCAGGAACCAACCCCGGGCTGCCCACCGAAGCAGAGCACAGTGAACTTAACCACTAGACCATGGTGCCAGCCCCTAAACCATGAACCTCTCACCCATAGAGAGAATAAATCAACAAGGTGATGGCTATGTTAGAATCATTTATTAATCTTACTGGAAGAGGCATTGAGGCAAACATCTCCACTGTTAAGCTCTTTTTTTTTTTTTGCTGAGGAAGATTCGCCCCGAAGCTAACATCTGCACCAATCTTCCTCTATATTGTATGTGGGTCCACGCCCACAGCATGCCTGCTTATGAGTAGTGTAGGTCCTTGCCTGGGAACCAAACCCAAGCCGCCGAAGTGGAGCGCAGTGATCTTAACCACTTGGCCATGCGGCTGGCCCTAAGCTCTCTCTTCTGATGACATGACACACAAATACTAAATAATTTAACCAAAATCAGACTGCTAATAAGTTTATAAAACTTTTTATACTCTGAAAACCCGAACTGCTTAATACCAAATCCCCTAAGACTTTCCAGTAAGTCTATTTCAATTTGTTTCCTCTGACAGGATACAAGACAAACACTCAGTTTGCTTGAGTTTTAAAAGGATATTTTCCTTTGCCCCACTTGAATGACCAATAAAGACATAAGTCCAATTGGCAAAGTGAAAAGGGGGTGTGAGGAAATACTGATCAACCACAAAGAACTATCACATTACTTACTTAACTTGCTTGTTTACAACAATGCCAACAGCATGCTGGGTGACATTGTACACTCTTCCAGTTTTACCATGGTAACATTTGTGGGGCATTCCTTTTTGAACAGTGCCCATTCCCTGTGAAAAAAGGAGATAAATGTTATGCCAGCAATTTCCCCTTCCTTTTAAACCCTGATTTTTATTAAAGTAACTAAGATGTTCTAAGATTTTTTCTTTTAAACGGCAACTCAAGCTTTCAGAGCCGGTGAAATTTGTTTTTCACGTTGCTTTAAGCAATCAAAAAGGCAATCATCATGAAGCTCGAAAGTGCCAAACACATTCAGATACTGGTCACTAAAGAACACAGCTTTTAACAGTAATCTCCATCTCCATCAATAATTACATTTTGCACTAAGGTATTCGATTCCTTTTCACCTCAACTCCTATGATTTTTTTCCCCTAGCTATTAACAAGTAATGAGAAAAAGTTCAGACTCAAGAACAGCACTTTTAATAACTGTTTTCTGAAAGTAAAATTAAATTAACCATCCTATACTCTTATGAGCTCTTATTCAGGCAACAGATTTTTCCCCATTGAGGACAACAAGGAGCCAGCAGATGCAATATACACTTGTAATTAAATTCCAATATTAGAGTAAATCTAACTTTTCTAGGTTGTAATGTTATTCTGTAGGTTATTTCTCCGATTTTATAATTTACCTTGATGTCTACAATATCACCTTTCTTGTAGATTCGCATATATGTGGCCAAAGGAACAACTCCTGTCAAAAAAAAATCAGTATCAGTATCAAGATTAAAGTCTAGAGTGAAAGAAATATATAACCCTACTAGCTTTCAACACACATCACCTTTGACAGTTATGTATATTTTAAAATCTTGCTCGTTGACAATCTAAGAACTACTATATAAAATTCATGCCTTGTATTTATTACAAAATAAGTTAGATGTTGGTTAATTAATGCAATTTATCAAGAACACATTATATGAAACACAACACATACATATTAATAAAACACAAATGCATGCTATGCTTGCTCTCGAGGAGGGTAAATCTACTTACCATGTTTTCTAAAAGGCCTAGAGAACATATAGCGGGTGCCTCTCCTCTTTCCCTTTGTGTTGGTCATTTTGGCAAATTACTGAAACCAGAAAGCATAACACAGTCAAATACAATTGCAAAATTTATATTTGCCCCTTTATCCAAAAAACTTGTAATTTCAAATGCTTATATTTCAGTAGCAATATCAGAATTAGGGAACAATATAAAAGGTGGCTGGCTCACCAATCAATATTTCTTATAAAAGGTAAAAAAAAATCCATCATTTTAGCAAGTAAGATCTTTGCCAAAACTACCCAAGTGCTGTAACATTAAAATTCCTAAGCAGCAGAACTGGATTTTAAAACCCAAACCAGTACTTTCTCGATTAAAATATAAAAACACGACAGACTTCTACCACGCTATTATCTGTAGAACCCAGTCTAGAATGCCCAAGGTGCTGGAATTACTAGCTAGAAGATAATTTATTGTTGGAAAACATGACAAAACTCAGCCTTGCATTTTTACATGGTGGATTAAACCTCTTACAAGCTAATTTTTTGTGACATTATTTCTCCCATACGGCATCTATTAACTGTCAAAAACCTATGACTAGAGAGATTCTAATTGTTAACTCAATTGTTTACTAGGAAATATAAGGGGAAAAAACAGGGTTTATAATCACTGACTTAATTTTGACATAGGTTCTGCCACTTACTTGCTGGGGAGACCTACGTTTAAACCCCGATCCTCATCTGTAAAATGGGGTTAATGCTTTTATAATTAAATGAAGTAATGTCTACAAAGCACTCACCAATTCCTAGCACAGATAAAGTATTTAACAGCAAATGGTAGTTAATTTATCATTATCTAAGAATTCACCTATGAGCATTTAGAATTGAACCTTTCACTTTGTTTCCCAAAAGGTCAAAACAATGGGTTTGACTGCTTCAGGTCATTCACCAGCAGATTCACCAATGCCTGCAATTACTCCTACCACAAGGCAAGACATACCAAAGTGAGGCTTAACTTTTTCACTACTCTAACGTAAATGGGTCTCAACTTATTAACATTACTCCTTAATCTTAAAGAAAAGGGACTCCAATGTACCTTTTTCATGTAACTCGTTTGGCAAGGAGACACAATGTTTCACCTAACCCATCAAAGCCAAAGCACTGTTATTAAGAATGCTTCCTTTAGTTTTAAAAAAGGCAACTAATCATCTATTAAGGGCCAAGTACCGTTTTAATTCCCAAAATCTCTACGTATGTATTAAGTTCACATAAACTTGTGTTAAGTTCATACCCAAGGAGAGATGCTCTGCGGGTCCAAGTCACTTTATGGAGTCGCAAAGTGGCAGAATCAGTAACCGAAGTCGTTTCTGACTCCAGAGCCCATGCTCCTTCCACCAGACCCACTTTCCCGAATAAGAAATCCATTTTACACCAAGATCAAATACACATAAAACTGAATGCATTGTTTAAAACAATACTTAAGTGAGAAACAATGATGCTTTAGCTTCTCTAACAGTACCAAAAATGGGCCCCATTATGGGATGCAACCTGCAGCACGCTCAACTCTGATAGCTGGCTAAATATCTACAAACTAAACAAAAAGATAAGAAACTAAGATTAAGTGATTATTCAATAACTTTTCCCCTAAACTTCCAGATCAGACACACAGCTAATCGAGAATGCCAGCGTCAGTACACACTGCCCTAGCGTTAACAATACCTGTGGCAAACCTAAAGCACTTCCCCTCGTCCAACTACGACGCGGGGCTGAAAAAAACCACCGAAAATCACTTCACGCCTTAACGATAAGTGGGTCTGGGGTTCCTACAGGTCGACTCAGTGGGCACCCACCCCGTCCTCTGATCGCGAGCCCGGGCTTTCACACACATCCAGGCCTCCCCGGAGGTTGAGGCCGACGCCTGGTTGTGAGCCCGTTCCCACTACCCCGAAGTCCGCACCCAACACCATTACAAGTTTACGTTTCAGGTGAGAAGCAAAAATGCCACCCTGGAAGGAGTTCGAAAAGCATAAGGCCACGCGGCCCCACAGAGCCAGTCCGAGAGCCCGGGATACCGGGGCTGAAGCCGTGAGAACACAGGAAAGACGAATCCTTCCCAGAATGACCGGAGTCGTCTCACCCCACTGACTCGGTCTCGTTTTTCTCAAGCCTGTCGCCCCGCAGGGCCGCGGCATCGCAGCTGGTCCGCAGCCCCCGGCCCGGCGCACCGCTCCCAGTCTGAATGGACAGAGCTCTACCATCCAGGCCAATGGGCCCCAAACAGCCGAGACAGTTTCTCTAAGGCCCCAACACACGGCCTCCGCGGCCAGAAGGTCACGACTCGAGTCTCTGGGACGAGGGGCACCGGGAGCCACGCGCGAGGCCTACCTGGAAGATGGCGGTTCCGGCCGAAAAGAAAGAGGCGGGGCTGCGGCGCGCGCCTTACAAGGGCCTGCGGGCTGCCCGCCGCACTGCCTGAAAGAAACGCCAGCCGAAAGCGGCTCTTCCGGGGAAGGAGATCGTCCCTAAAAACAAGGAGAGCCTGTGAGGATATTTTCTTTTCTTGCGACAAAGAGACAATCGACCAATACAAGCTGATACTTGGATCTTGCCAGACAGCCCAGAAAAGGGCCTTCAAGGGCGTCAAACAGGACGCTGACGACCCGAGCGTGCCGACGTCCGCCCCTGCGTCTGAGGCTACGCCGGAAGCGGTCGTGTGTCTGCGTCTCCGGGCGTCAGGGAGCGGGTGGTCCTACGGCGTCTGATCGTTTGCTGGTGCTCGTAACTGGCGCGTCTGTAGAAATGATTACGTGGGTACAAAAGTCAAGCTGTAGTGAAGCAAGTATACTGTCCAGTTTGTATGTCTTTCAAAAGTTTTTTCCTCCAGTGCGTCAAGACATACCACGCGCTTGCTGGTAGGTGCGTGAATGTTACAACTACTTAGGGAAATAATCTGGCAAAATTTGCTAAAACTGAAAATTTTCAAATACTACATTCTAGCATTCCGCTAAGTATATATCTTACAGAAACTTTGATATGTAGACAAGGATGTACAAAACAGCACTGTGAGTAGAAGCCAAAAATTGGGAACATCCATCCGTAAAAGAATAAAGACATTATGGGATACTCACGGTGGAATATTATATGCCAGCAAGTCAAGACTGAAATAAATATGAAGCAAAAGAAGGAAGTTATTGAGTATACATAGTATGACAATTTATATGCAAATAAGTTTAGAACATGCAAAACAATACTGTATATTGCATAGGTATATATGCATATGTAGTGCAAGTAGTGGAGAAATACCTGCAAGGGAATGAAAATCAAATTTAGAAGAGTGGTCATGTCTGGGAGGAAGGAGACTATAAAGAAAGAGGTATAAGGGAGGCTTTAACTGTCTTGACCGTTTTTAAAATGGGTAATGAATATGTGAGAGGTCATTGGTTGATTCATTATACTTTTTATTATGTATTATTTTCTCAATAGAGTTTTTTTTAGGGTAGTTTTAGATTTATAAGGAAATTTTGGGAAAATAGTATAGAGAACTTCCATATACCTGGCACCCAGTTTCCCCTGTTATTAACATCTTAACATTTTTATGGTACATTTGTAACAACTAATGAACCAATACTGTACATTATTGTTAACTAAAGTTCATAATTCAATCACATTTCCTTAATTTTTACCTAATATCTTTTTTCTGTTCCACGATACTCTCTAAGATACCATCTTCCATGTAGTTATGTCTCCTTATGCTGTGGCAGTTTCTCAGACTTTCCTTGTTTTTGATGACCTTGATGGTTTTGAGGAGTACTGGTCAGGTATTTTGTAGGATACCCCAACATTAGAATTTGTCTGATGTTTTCCTCATGAATGTATGTGTTATTTTTATAATGCATTTTCTGAAAATCTAAAAATCTAAAAAAACTAAGCAACAAAAATCTTAACCTGTTTGAATTTAAATAACATTATCCCATTGATTTTGAAATTTGCATTTCTTTGACTCACTCCTCTGATTTATCAGGACTTGCAATTTCTAAAAACTGCGTAGGCTCCAAAAGTTTGAATTTATACATCCTGTGACCACAGTCTCTAGCCCTTAAGCTCACTTGCTCAAGAACGTGAAGAGGAGTAAGGATTCAGTCTTCATCAATTCCTTTAATACATGACTCCTCCACCTTCACTATAACAATTAGCCCCCTTTGGCTTCTGTGTTCTTCTTTACCCAGCTTAATTTCCGGTAGTTCATCGTTACATCATTCCCTTTCAACTACCTCAAGTCATTCTTCCTTTCATATCACTCTCCTAGCAAATGTACATCCTTGGATAAATGCAGCCTCTGCCTTCTCCATGATGGTGTCTCCACAGCTGAGCATTATGGAAGAAAATCTTGCAAATAGGCCATCTGGTGTGATTATAAACTAGTCATCCTATTCTTGGGCTATATTTTTTTGCACACAAACATGTTTTTTTCACCACATAGAGTGTTTTTAAATTAAGATATGTTACATAAAAATAAAGATTTCTGGCCTTTGTTGAAAAATCAGAAGATTTGGGAACTTAGGGCTGATAGTCTTGGCGGCAGCAATCCAGTGGCTACCCCCTTTAGATTGGGAATGTATTCTTGAGTTTCATGTCCACTCAGTCTGCTTCAGTTGTTTACCTGACTTGCACCTGTCATAAATTCATGATCAGCCATTCTCAAACAGGTCCTCAGTGGCACCTCGCATCCCCACTACAGTTTCAGAGTGAGTTTGCTTACCTACTCTCCGTAAAGACCATTTCACATTTTTTCTTCGATTATCAAGTTTCCCATCCGTTCTCTCCACCTTTCTTTGAGCTGATGATTGCCTAATTTTTTTATCAGTGTACAGATGTGCTCTGGTCTTTCCACCTAAATCCCACAAGCCTCTCCTTCCTGGTCCTACTTGACCCGTATACCCTTCTATCTACTGCCCCTTGTTTTCTTCCATCAGACTTTTAAAAAAAGAATCATGTGAAATTACTGGTTTTTTATATCAAAAATTGTCACATTTCAGCTGACACTTTGTATGGTTTAACCAAATACATGAACACTATCATCTCTTCCTCATCTCCCTTTCTGTTTTCTGTTTAATGTGACTTTTGTCCCAATCGTGCCACTAAAACTGCTCTTGGCCAATGTCATCGACTACTTCCATGTTGCCAAAACCAAAAGCCATTCCCTGTTCTTTCTTAATCTCTCGGAAGCCTTAGACTCTGGCCGGCCGCTCCTTCTTCCTTGAAACACTACCCTTTCTGACCACTACACAGACTATTTTGTTGGTTTTCCCTTCTCTCCCTGTCCTCTAAATAAGGACAAGGAACTCGTTCAGGACTTGGAACTAGTTCCCCTGCTCTTCTCTTTCTACACTCTCTTCCTAGGTAATTCCATTTACAGCTATAATTTTAAATGTCATCTCTCTTCTGCTTACTACCAGGTTTATTTCTCTAATTCAGGCCTCTCCTCAAAACTTCTGTTCAGCCTGACATCTGTTCTTGGATACCCTTTAGCATCTCAAAGTTAACATGTCCAAAATAAAACTTGATTTCCAGTCCCAAACCTGTTTTTGCTCCATTATTTCCCATGTCAGTAAGTGGCATAAGCCAGAAACCTTGGTTTTGTCTTTAAGTTTTCCCTTGCACCCTCCATATCCAATCTGTCAGCAAATTTAATCGCTGTTCACTTGCAAAATATATCTCCAGATGGCCTACCTATTTCCATCTCTATGGCCACCTCTAGTGGAATCTCTCACCTGAACCAGCAATGGCCTCATTAAGGTCACTTTTTTCTCTGTTGCATCAGCTCTATCCTTTTTTTACATAGTAGGCAGAGTGATCTTTTAAAACTGTAAAGCTAATTATATCACACCCTTGCTTAAAGCCCTCCAAAGACTTTCTATTGCTCTTATAATAAAATCCAGACTCCTTCCCTTGGTTTACGGGGTCCTGCATAAGCCGGTTCTTGCCTTTCTTTTCAGGTTCACTTGCTTCCTCCCTCAGTTCACTGTATCTACCACTGCCTTCCCTACTCCCATAACCAGGCAAGCTCTTTCTAGCCTCGTGGGCTTTATGCATGCTGTTCCCTTTGCCTTTCAAATGGATCATTCTTTCTCACTGTCTTACTTTCTAAATATGTATGTTGCTTTATATATCTAAATAGCTAGGAATTTAATAAGATGTTTTAATTATAGAGCAAATGCAAACTCCTGTGACCAAAGTATTTACAGTTTCTTCTATTTCAGTTAATTTTTTAAAAAAAAACTTTGTCATAGCAAAATTTTAATTCTAAGTCAATTTTTTTGTTTTTTAGCATATTCTGTTATTTATCTCAGTCATCAGTTGGTCTGGGCTAAGTGTAACCAAAATGGTATTACTATTATCCTACAAAAAGCATAATTAAGAAAATAAAAATAATAGTATACCAAAATGAATTCCAAAATTAAATACATTCTTGCTGTGGCCAGCCATTTTAGACTTTGTACGTTGTTCTTAATGACTTAATGTAAATAACCTAACCCCAGTATGGTGTATATATGTGTGTTTGTATACATATATATGTATATATGCACTTATACATATGTGTATGTGTATGTATATATTATAGAGAGAGAGATTTTTTTTTTTGGTGAGAAAGATTGTCGCTGAGCTAACATCTGTGCCAGTCTTCCTCTATTTTGTATGTAGGACACCGCCACAGCATGGCTTGATGAGTGGTGTGTAGGTCCACACCTGGGATCCGAACCCACAAACCCCGGGCCGCAAAATCGGAGTGTGCAAACTTAACCACTACACCACCGGGCTGGCCCCGAGAGAGATTTTTAAAAATATATGCACTAAAATGCACAGATCCTAAGTGTACAATTGCATGATTTTTGACTGATGTATACAACCTTGTAACCAATATCCCCAGTCAAGATATAGAACATTGCTATCTCCATGGAAAGTTCCCTGAGGTTCCTTTCTAGCCAGTTCCCTCCCCCATGAGAACCATCCAATATTCTGATTTCTATAACCATAGATTGGTTTTGCCTATTCTTCTTAAGTTTCGTATAAATGGTAGTGCACTCTTTTTTGTTTGGCTCTTTTTGTTCAGCTTAATGTTTATGAGATTCAATCATATTGTTGCTGTACCAGTAGTTCAATTCATTTTTATTGCTAAGTAGTATTCCACTATATGAATATACCACAATTTATTTGTAGTCTCCTCTTGATGGAAATTTGAGTTGTTTATGATTTTTTGCTACTATGAATAAAGCTGTCATAAATATTTTTGTGAATATGTTTTCATTTCTTTTGCGTGAATATCTAGGATTAGCATTGCTTGATCATAAAGTAGGTGTATGTCTATCTTCATAAAAAATTACCAAATGGTTTTCCAAAGTGAACCCCCATTTTATTTATTTAGCATTTTCCTCTGGAAAGAGTAAGGCATCTATTTTTATTACAGGCTTTCATTTTTTCTTCTCAGATTGTTT